TTTCAGAAATGGAAAAAGCAAAGACAAAAAGTAAAATAGGTACAAACTTAGTTATGAAGAGAAGGATAATAATTTTCGCTTTACTTCTTTTTGTAAAAGTAAAAGATAGGAACAGAATAAGCAAAAATAAAGAAAAGGCAACCGCGACGAACTTAAACCAAGGAATAGATGAGTCATAATTGTTACAAAAAAATATCAATGTAAATTTTATATGAAACTATTATAATATTATAAATGATATTAATTATTATCAAGTTGATGGATGTACCAATTTTATTTATCTAAAATATACATAATTAACTAGACATGCGAATGTCAAATAAGAATCATCAGAAATCTTGCATATGATGCAATAAATTTCATCAAAATCATTAGCAAGTACTGCGCTATACGCAAGTTTCATTCGTTTTTTGATAATTAAATCTTTTTTTTTTATTTTTAAAAAGGGATAGAATGAATTACTTTAACGACGTTCAGTATAATCAAGTAAATATAGTCAATCTGTTAATAAACCATTGAAGTATTTATTTTTTTTACTGTTTATAATACAATTGTCGTTAGAATAATAATAACGGAAAACAATTAGATGATTACGAACCGAAACGATAGGACCAGAGTAAAAAAATAAAAAATAAAAAATGGAAACAAAGCAAATTATAATAATAAATTAGGGAGGCCCGAGGCATATTCATCTTCAAAACTTTTGGAAGCGAATAAACTCAAAAGAAGAACCTAAATAGTGCAAAATTTGAAAAAAAAAATCATCAGTCGCCGTGTCCTGAAACAATCCAATAATAATAATAATAATAATAATTAACGACCCATAACAATAAAACTTATGTGGTAAACTCAACTATCGAATACGTCGAAATTATCTTTAAAAGATTTAAAAAAAATGAAGAATAAAAAAAAATAAAAAATAAATTTAAAAAGTTAAAATATGTAATGATTTATATGCGATATTGAGGCGCAGTGTCGAATCGAGAAGTACTTTAAAAAAAACCTTCTGCGCCTTTTTATTGATGTATTAGGCGGTGTCGGGAACGTATTTGCATTTTTTTCTATATATTAAACTCCTATCCATTAAGCTGATTGCTAGCATAAAGCTATAATAACAGAAATGTCTATAAAAATACACACTCCCTCTTTTAGCGAAAAATAGAAATCCTACTAAATTCCTGAAATCGCTTGATTTGCTTCACTTCCTGAAAAATCCTTGATTTCACTTATTAAAGAGAGATGACTTGCAGATGAAAAAAGTTGAAGCATTGGAAGCATATGGGTTGATTGCTAGGAAAATCAGGTTCCGGGAATTTTTAGCAAAATTGAGATTTTTATTGCATTTTAGTTTTTGATGTTATTAGATTAAAATGTATTAAGCTCTAAATTTTAGTCAAAAATTTCTCGGAACCTGATTTTCCTAGAAACACTCCCATATATTAAATAGGGCTTGAAAAAGTCCTACGCTCATCCAAAATCCCATAAAATTGGCCAGATGATGATTTACCATTAATCAGGTTTTATAGTTTAACTTCTGACGAGTTCGAGCGTTATAATTCATTTCATTTCAAAGACATAGAAACGTTGATGGAATTATTGATAAAAAAATTGGGTAAATAGTAATATAATTTAAAAGGTCTTTAGTTTATTAGAAAGTTCTTATTTAGCCAAATATTATAATTTTAATCCTTGCTTTAACTATACTAAATTAGCATTTTTTAAAACTTTATATAAAATAATTTTTTCAATTTTGTCTAATTTATATTTGTAGAAGTCTCGCTTCCTCACAATTTTATGTATTTTATACGACAATCGATAATCTTTATTTTTTTTAATTGAATTCTTTATAACGTTGTACTTTAGGCTTTATTTTTTTTTTTTTTATCAAATATAGTTATTTTGGCCTGTTACATTTTTGCATGGTGAAATACAAAGCGCCGTAAATATTCTACATATATTTTTCTCGGGAATTAACGTATGCATACATGTTAAAAAATCTTGAGCCTAGATTATGGATGCACTAAACTTTAATAATATATATAAAGGAAATAATTATCTTATCAATGTACACGAGAAACTAAAATTGATATAGACCATCTAATAAGAAAAAAAAAATGCTAAACCTATCATTAATTACCAAATCAAATATATTAGATGAAAATGACGCGTAAAATTTTTTTTTATTATTCTACTCGAAGTACATATGTATTCAGTTATCCAAATTGTTCTAGTGCCTTGACTCAACATTAATGCACATGCCTGATGAATTATATTTTTAGTAAACAAATCTCAACAGTATGATTTTCTTTCCTGTTAAATTAAATGCATCCAAGCTTGGTTCTTTAAAGTAAAGTTACGTATAATACATAAATTGATAACCGAAATAAAGTTATTAATTAAAATGCTGCGTACATGCCGATGCTTCAAAGTGTCCAAACTTTTTTTATAGAATTGGTGCCCATTTCCGTGTATGTGTCTTATACGTTAGGCCTGTGCTCTAAATTTTTGTTAGGCACAATCCTAATAATAACGAGTGTGACAAGCGCGACTATAATGTGCCTATATTCTTTTTAGTCTTTGATATATTGTAGTAATGTTAACTCCAATTCCATAAGTTTTCTGAGAACTATTAATATCCGGGAAGCCGACATCAAATGTGTGTCCAGCAAAATTTGCTCCAATTTTCGATATATCCATAATTCAAGCATTACATTCTTTTTGTTAATACATTGAGGGAATGCACTACTTACCTTCTATATTGATGGCTTGTTTGAGTTGCTTTCCTTCGTATTACATCTCCTAATTCAATAAATTCATCACATTTGATGCAGTAATTTACATTAATGATACTTTCTAAACGATCATTTTATCCTCAAATTTATGCTCGGTATAATTGAATTGACTGAACTTGTCCTTCATGATGAAGAATAATGTTCAACTCTACAAGATGATTATTATAAGCTAAGCTTCAGTTTGAATTCTTGAAATTGCACAATTTAGGTGGTATTGAGTAAAATATTAATATGGTGTTAAAATTTTTGAAGGATGGTGTTGGATCTTATTCCATGATTCTACAGACATATTTCCTATTTGTATTTCTTTCAATAGTTAGAATTCTACATCATCTTTTTGACATTGGATCATTATATCACCATCATTTAGAATTCTGGACTTTTATGCATAAAAAAGATTTTCAATTTGTTACTAATATATATATATCAATTTCGAAATAGCAGGTTGTTGCATTTAAATTACTTAAAAAATTGTTGATTATTATAACTTTACAAGATAACTTAAATAAAATGCAAATGAAATACTTACATTATTCATAACGAATCAGTTTAAACTAGACAAATTATGTGGATAATTTTCTGTGTCAGAAACATATGATGCAGGCATAGATGAGAATAAAATAAGTATCAAAATTAAAATTTTTTGCTCTGCTCTAATCATCCCGACAACGAATTGTACGGAAATCATATGATTGAAATATTTTATTAACTAGTTGTTCAAAAGGTAAGCTTTTAACGAATCATAAACCACATATATATTTCCAAAGCTGTCTTGACGTATTTTGTCATATTGCTTAAACGAAAGTTTGAACTGATTTATGGATCAATGAAAAAAATTTTACATCTGATCATCACTTTTTTTGTGGTATATAAATAATTCTTTATTAAAAAAATTGTATAATTTACAAATAAAATTTACATAAATCATGAGTGTATAATCAATATTTTTAAAGAATAAATGCTTGCGCTTAGCCAGTTAGAGATGAACCTATAACTGTATCTCCTGGACACCGCGTAAAGGTGGCAAGTTTCGTATAGGTTAATAAAATATTTGAGATGAAAAAAAAAAAGAAAGTGCATACGAATATAATGGGTCATAAAATTAATTTTAAAAAATTTTACCTCAAGACATCATCAAAATACATAAAACAAGATTAAAAAAAAATAAAATAAAATAAATATATAATTCTAAACTATAAAATGTAGATGAAGTGGCCAAAGGTGATTATTTTAAATGCAAAAAAGAACGACAAATCAGCCAACTTTATATATTAGATATGATTCATCAAGGTATCGTAGTCATGCTTATCAAAAGATAAGCACCTTAGTGAAAATTTTTAAAGGGATAAATTTTTTTTTTAATTTTTATATATTTAATTTTTTTTGAGGATTTCAAAGACGATGAATAAGAGAAGGAGAGGTGGCCAGCTAAAACGAAGGGGAAATAGGTAAAAACCATAATCGATGGCAACGTAAATGCCAGGAAGATCTAGATCCATTGGCTCCAGCCATCGACTAGGGGAGGAATGTAAGGGGTTTCTACAAAAATGCCTGGTGGATCAAGATCCACCAGCTCTGGACACCTAGAAAATGACGGATAGGAGAAATAGGGCGAGATAGTACTGAAATTGCAGCTGTAACGGGAGGGAGGTGAAGGGAGAGGAACTAAAACAAGAGAGAGGGAGGGACAGTAACTAGTGGAGGGGGAGAAGTGCTATCAACCATACGGATAACAAAAAAAAGTTTTGAAATTTTAAGTAAACATGGTTAAAAGCTATTTATAAAATTCAGAATAATGATAAAAAAAAACTTTCTCAAATAAAACCCAACAAGTAAACCCACACAATGACCTTAATAAATATGAAAATCACTTACTAAAAACCCATCCACTTGGCGAATCTAAAGTAATTCCTTATTTTCAAAGCACGTTCCAAATTATAGTTTCTTGTCATCAGCTCTTGCCACCTAAAAAAATGACGGATAGGAGCAACAGGGCGAGGTAGTATTGAAGTTGCAGTTTTAACGGGAGGTGAAGGGAGAGGAACTGAAAAAAGAGAGGTGAAGGAGTGCTGTCAACCATACAGAAAACAAAAAAAAGTTTTGAAATTTTAAGTAAATATGGTTAAAATCTATTTTATTTAAATTCAGAATAATAATAAAAATAAAATAAAACCCAATAAGTAAACCCACACAATGACCTTGATAAAAATGAAAGCACTTACAAAAACTATTCACTCGACGAATCCAAAGTAAATCCTTCTTTTCAAAGCATATCCCAAATTATAGTTTCTTATCATCAGCTCTGGCCACCTAGAAAACGACGGATAGGAGCAATAAGGCGAGGTAGTATTGAAGTTGCAGTTTTAACGGAAGGTGAAAGGAGAGGAACTGAAACAAGAGAGGGTGAGGAAATGCTATTAACCATATGGAAAAAAAAATTTTGAAACTTTAAGTAAACATGGTTAAAAGCTATTTTATTTAAAATTCAGAATAATAATAAAAATAAAACCACCTCAAATAAACTCTTTTCAAAGCACGTCCCAAATGATAGTTTCTTGTCCTTGATTCTTTTACATCCCTTTGCAATCTTCTTTCATAAGCTTTATTCTTGTTAACATCGTCTAACTTGATAACTTCTTCTGATAAGCTTGTATACTAATCGTTCACAAATATTCTTTCATTTTCTTTTTGTGCTTCAGCAGTAATTTTCTTTGAAAGCGAAAAATTTTGCACGTTGTCGAGAATTTGCGGATTTGTAAGACATTTTTGTAAAAAATCTAGAACAAATAACTGGTTTTAAAAATTTATGTGCAACGATAATCACGTGACATTTGATCAACAACCTAAAATCCCACAATTCTCTGAAAATGAAGGTTATGAATAAAAGGACCTTATTTTATAAATCTAGATCACATTGAGAGAGCAGACTGTCGCTCTGGATTCCTCAGTGAATCTGATCAGTAGTGATCTTACATTAGATTCCTCTTAGGTGAGCTCGGGTGATCCTGCTCTTAGGTGATTCGTTCAAGATTTCTACTACAGTTATCTCGGGTGATCCTCCCTAGATTCCTGTTTGGTGATCAGAGATCTGATGGCTCTTTCATCTTATTTTATATTAATAGCAGGTTAGGAAGTGAAAAGTGAAAAGTTACGAGTGAAATAATTTCTACTATTTCTTATATTTTATCTTTGAATAAAAGAGTATTAATTTTGTAATTGTATTTTAAGTATTTTTTTTTAATTACTTTTTATTTCAATGACGAAATTATAGTAAATGATAAAATAATTTTTTTTTTGATTTAAGTGATTAATAGAATAGAATAAAAAAATATATACTTTTAGATTTTAATTTATTAGTTCGTGAATTTAAACTTGCAAATTTTAATTCGACCTTGTAATTGCATTCATCTTTAGAACTAATTTATTAAATTGATTTTAATATGAGGAAATCCATATGTTTTAAGGTTTATATTGAATCGATCTTGATGGGACAGTTCAGTCTATCCGGTCTAAAAAAAGATAAAAGACAGGTCTTTTTAGACCGGATCGATGATCAAAATAGTACTATGTTATTTTTTTTTATTTGTTAAAAAGGTAATAATTACATTGAACTTGTAATGGCAAATTTTTCTTTAATTGAATTATTCACGTAGGAATTGGCAGATTTTGTAAATGAGCCTTCATCAAATATTGATGAAACACTAAGATCTGATAGTGCACAAAATTAAAGTTCCATATCAAAGCAACCTTACTTACTCTATCGTCTCTCGAATGACACAAATTGTGGAACCTAAGTTCCAATGATAAAATAATTCTGATAAGTAATGACAACTGACTACGGAGATATTAAACGGAACATGGTAGTGGAAATAGCGAATAAAAAGTTGAGTACCTTTGGCAGTTTAGTAAAAGGAAAAGAATCAACATTATAAGTGTGAAGGTATACAAAATTTTTTAAAATTTTGCATTAATTTTCCTCTCCAAAACTTACCATATTCCCTCAAGCGTCCGAATTCGATAAATGTGCCTACTTCTTTCCTCTAAAAATTTCCAAATAACAATAAAAACAATTTAGCATTTTAAAGTAAACGAGTAATACCATAATAGAAAATCTCTTATATGGCGCTTAATAAAGCGCCTAGCATTGGAAAAGTACATTGTTTATCCCAGTCTGGTTAAACTTATCAACTTATAACTTCATACCCAAATTTCTGGTAGATGTAGTCCTAATCCAAAACCGAAATATCGATTAAATTTATCTTTTTCCAAATTTTGCGTCAAGTTTAAGTATTTTAATTTTGTTACTCTGTCTTTCATCTTTCTTTCCTTTCTCGTCTTTGACCAAGACAATAATAAAATATATAGATGTTATTATAATTTTTAATTATATAATTTTCTGGTTTTGAATCTAAGCTTTTTTATAAAAAAAAAAAAGAAAAATACTGCTCGTTTGACGCGTCGCGTTTGACAAGTGATTTTTAGGAGTGTATTATTGTTCCTTTTTAGTAATAGTTAAAACCCATTTATTAGTCCCATATAGTTAGTTAATCATTTATGAAATACGGGACATCAGCAGACATTTTTTATTCACTCTGTGTCATGACACATTTTTATATTTCAGGACTCCTATTTGAGAGGGCGTCATAAAAAAAGGGAGAAAGGGAGAAATCTGAAATTTAGTTCTAAGCAATAAATTTCGTTTTTAATATTGCATACATTTATTTAAACATAACAAAACTTTTTATATAAATATTTATTATTATAGGGAGTAAGATATCCTATTAATTAATCATACTTTTATTTCAACTAAATTTTTATTTCTTTAAAAAATTTAATAATTGAAAATACTATAGTTAGTAAGTTATTATTATGTTTAAATAATGCAAATATATATTTTTTTAAGTCTTTTTTATTTAAATAAATATTTAAATTTATAGAAGGTAAGTTTATTATTAATAAACTATATATTATTTAAACAATAACTTTAAATTTTTAATTTAAAAATATTTAATGGATTTAGATGGTAAGTTATTTTTATTGATTTTTTTTATTTTATTATAATTTGAATTTACCAATTATTATTAAATTATTAAATAATTTAAGTGGTAAATTATTTTTATTAATATAATAATTAATTATAATTTATTACAATTTAACTTTCTATTAAAATATTTAAAATAATATAGATGGTAAGTTATCTTTATATTTAATTATATATTTATTAATTTGTATTTTAACAAATATTTCATAATTAGGTGTAAGTTATAGTTTTTATTTAACATTATTAAAATTTAAATTAAATTAAATTTGATTTTAATAATATTGTTTAATAATTTAATTAGTAAGTTATTTTTTGATGAATTATTCTAATAATTTATTTAAATTTAATTAATAATTTATCAAAATATATTTAATAATTAATAATAATATAGAAAGTAAGTTTTTTTTTTATATTTTTATAAATTAATTATAATTAATTATATTTTTAATTAATATTTATTTTAAATATCTTTTATTTAATAATTTAGATGATAAATGATTTTATTAATAATTATATATATTTTATTATAAGAAATAATTTAATTAATATATTTATTTAATAATTAGGTGATAAGTAATTTTTATTAATTATTTTATCTATATTTTTTATTTTAAATTAAATTTTATTTAAATAAATATTTTATATTTCTAGATAATAAGTAATTATTATTTTTATTAGTAATTTAAATTTAATAAATTTATTAAAAATTTATTTTTTTTTATACATAATATATTATAAGAAGTAAACTATTTTTTTATATTATTATTAATTATATACATTTTTTATAATTATATAAATAAATATTTTATTTTAAAAAAATATTTAATATTTTAGAAGATAAATTAATTTTATTATTCTTTTAAGCATTTTGCAGACAAATTTACCTGCAATTTTATTTAATAATTAAAATTATTTTATAATAATTTTAAATATTTTTAAAATAATTTATTTAAAAAATAATATTTTTATAATAAATTTTATAATATTTTCTAAGTAAAAATTCAAAAAAAAATGTAATTAATTAGTGATATTTTAAAGATAAATATATGATAAATTATTATGAAAAAAAGTTAAATTTTTAAATTTATATATCTTGTCTTGCTATCTAATGATCTTAGAAATATGAAAATATATAAGTTTTAATAAGATAAATCCAACAAACTAAATTTTATTTTCTTGAAATTTTTTTTTAAAGACGCAGTAATGCTTATATTTATTATAAAAATTCAAATCCAGTAGGTTAATTCATGAAAATCCTAAAAATCAAATACAAAAGTAGAAAAAATAAATTAAACTAACTAAAATATTCTTGCAAATTAAATCTTACTAGCTTCAAACCAACCAATCATTCTGCTATATTCTGAAGATAATTATTAATAAAGTCTTTATTAATGCATAATAACTAGATTATTACTATGCTTCTCTCTTTTTTCTAACAATAATTCTTATCTTAAATTTAAATTGAATATAATAACAAGTAACTCAAATTATTATTAAACTAAAAAAAAAACTAATAAAAAAATCTAACTTGAACAAGTTTCTAGCTAAGTTACTTAATTAATTTCTAGTTACAGTGACCTCTCAACACAATAGTGCTTATATCAATAAGTTATATCAAAAGCTCTTTAATACACTTAAACTTCTATACTAAGATATTTGTCAATTCAAATTACAATCACTGGCAGGTATTGTATGGAGCTCAAATTATACAGTTTTAAGAAACTGAAAAATTCTGCTAAGATCAGCAGGCTCTATAATATTAGAGATCTAAAAGATTGTGATTGATTAGGAAAATAATTAGAAAAATCATCACATGCGATTAGTTGATTTAAAATTATTATTGATCTTGATCGTTATTTGAAATACTCCTGATGTCTACTTTTGTAGGTAAAAAGAAAAGGAAAAAATATAAAAAAACAGTTAAGAGAAGTGGCGAAAAAAATATTTTAACAAAAAAATACTATGATTGGATTAGTAAAAACTGGTTTTTAAAATAAAAAAGTTTAGAAAAACAAAAAGAAGAAGAAGTTTGTAAAGAAAGTTTTTGTTTTTTATTCACAGGCTAAGCCATACTCGCACTTAAATGTACACATTTTTTACGTAAAAATTTTTGATCAAGTGATCACCATAAAGAGTTCATATATTTTTTATATTTTCTTGTAATTATTAGATAAAAAGTTATTTTAAAAATTGAAAATTTGAAAATTTAATATATATTAATAATTCTTAATTTTAAAAATTTAAAAATATTTTCATTAGATAGATCTTAATATAATAAATTTAATAAACTTTATTTCATCTTTTTATAATCATTAGATATTAAAATATTATAATTTTTTTATAATGTTTTATAGCTAATTTATATCTACACTTTAAGAAATAATTTCTTTAATTATATTTTTAACTTATTAATTATTTTATTAAAAAAATTAAATTATATAGTAAATTTTTTATTTATTAATTATAATATTTTACTATAATTTAAAAATAATAATATTTTCATTTAAATAATTAATAATATTATAGAATATGAATTATTTTAATTATATTTATTAAATTTTTTAAAAAAAAATTACTTAATAATTATTATTAAAAAATAAATATATTTTTATTTATAATTTACTACTAATTTATTTAATAATATTATTTAATATTAAAATAATAAATTATTTTTTATTAATAATTATATTAATAATATTTTTATTATATAAATTTATTAATTATTTTATTAAAAAAATAAATAAATTTAAAAATTTAAATAATAAATTATTTTTATATTTTATTTATTATTATTTAAATTAATAAATTTTAATCAATAATATTTAATAATTTAGTAATTAAGTATTTTTATTAAAATAATTATATTTATTATAATTAATATATAATTAAATTTTTTATTTAAAATAAATTTAAGTAATAAGTTACTTTACAGAAACTTGGTTTTCTTA